TTGTTTTTGCCAAATCAAGCGGCTTTGATAGTGTTTTCTCAGAGGTATGTTTGTCTTTTGATTAGGGAATCGGTATTTTTTCTGAACACGAAAAGGTATGCGACAAATATGATGTTTGCTTTATTTTGTTTTATAAATTTTCGTTTTCCACCATGAGCTTTCATCTTTCTTTTATCGTTTTTAAGGTAGAAGTACTTAATCATCTAACCATGGCTCCCTCACAACTCCACCCTTCATGTTAGACATACGTGAGACTCTATCAGAATTGGTGTGAACATGTGAAGGGAACACCTTGAGTGTTACTATTTCTCCATCTTTTCCAATGTCTTTGTGACCCGATGTCTCCGGCTAGAGGTAAAGGATTACTCAACTTCAAGTTGGGTCATTCATGGTTTTGAGCCTCTTTTGTAGCTCTTGCCTCTTTTGGGCCAGTTTTTCTTAGTGACCCTCTATTAGCCCAAAAGCTCACGATAGGATTTATGATATCGATACTGAAGTGGAGGGCTAATGTACCAACATGTTTCTCAAGTGTTCGATTGAGGGTCACTTTTTCTTAGGAAATAGTATTTTCGCATACATTGGGAAGGACATTTCTGAAGAGGCTCACTATCAAAAAGATCAGTTGGTAAAGTTCATCACCAAAGTGGTATATATATATATATATATATATATATATATATATATATATATATATATATATATATATATATATATATATATATATATATATATATATATATATATATATATATATATATATATATATATATATATATATATATATATATATATATATATATATATAGAGAGAGAGAGTTATTCCATCTACGAAAGCATAAAAGAAGAGTTTAAAGTGTCTCATTGACATCCCGCTGCTGGTGAAAGCCCATTCTCAAGAAGAGAGAAGAATCATTTTTGATAAACTTCAAACTTTTTGAGTTTTATGACACTTTTACTCTGAATGCCTTAAATGTATACTCTTTACCTATTTTTGTGCTGAGTGCATGGGTAATGAGGAGCAGTTCCAGCTTCTAAGGTGATAAGTGTGGCCTTATGGATATAACATTGCTGCAGAAAACCTATCGCTTTTACCGAAAGTCTTAGGTCATACTATTTTCCCCTTACTGATGGGATATGGCTCCTGCTCTACTGGAAATCGTCAATTACCTCCGTTGAATGAGGATTTTGTTTATTTGGCTAATATTTTTAGGCTCTTTTTTGGAGGAAAAGATGGACAAACTGGCGAGGTATTCTTTACGCACGTCGACCACTCTTGCCATAGGTGTATCTAGCCACTAGGATGCTTTTTTGACCGAGTGGTACCATACTGAAAAGAAACAGATGAAGGATTGCATCCATGACTTGGAGCTTCAACGAGAAAAGTACCTGCATGAAACAAAGGAAACTTCTACCTCTCTCTCTGGAGTGAAGGATGATTTGCTTCCCATGAAAATCAATATCTCTCTTTCCAATCAGGTGGCTCAGTTGGTGAAGACCGTAGTGATGAAAGATTAAGCTTTAGCTGTTGTTCAAAGTAGTTAGGGAGCTACTCACAAGAAAATAGAGGTTTTGCGTTCTTAGAATGCTTTGTTAGCTCGGTAGTTGGTCAACTGTATGTGTTCCACCCTTGAGGCGGTTTCTCAATCATTTGAAAAAGCTTTGGATCAAGTAGAGTTTTCACCACCCGTTAACGCTTTCTAGGGAGCAAATATATTCAGATATAACCATTGTGGACCAGAAGATTGCTTTTCTGCGAAAGTAGGCCTTGCAAGATTCTATTCTGATGCATTCTTTTTATTTCTTTTTATTTTTAATTTATTTTTTAGCACTTGTACGATAGTACTTCATAATGAAAGAGTATGTAGGAAATACATCTTTATTGGATGAAATATGTTTTGTTATTTGTTTTAAGGTGTGTTTTGGTACGGTACCGAGCACATGAAATACTTTTCGGGGTTGACGTAACGTTTCTATTTTACCACTCTAGCATGATCTTGGATATATAGCCTGGCCCTTAAGAAGTTGAGACGTTTTCTCTCGCTGTTAATCAGACGTTGTTATAATGGAAGAACAATAAACTTAATATGTTTTTAATACTTATTTTGAGGTATCCATCACGATTTATAGTGCAAAGCATATGATCTTTTTGAGCTTATGAGGTCTTCCCTCGAAGTTTATTAGACGTCACAAGGGCCGTTCAATTCGGTTCCCCTTCTCCCTACCAGATGAAAACCCGGTCAAAGGTAGATACATCGTCCACCACAATATCAGGAATGTCTAGCTATCAGACGGGGGTGAACCATTATTGCTTGTGGGGAATTGAATTCTTTATCTAGATGTATAAAGCGTCTCCGACATCACACGTGACTTTTTTGGGGGATTAATTGCTTTAGCCAGACGTACAAAGCGAATCCGACAACACCCTTGACTTTATCGATTATTTTAGCCAGGCGTACAAAGCGTCTTCGGCAACACCCCTGAATTTATATAGGGGATTGATTGCTTTAGCCAAATGTACAAAGCGTCTCTGACAACACCCCTGAGACCCTAACAATATGTGCGCCAGTCATCAATGTCTTTGGTTGTACCCGAACTTTCCGTTTCTATGCACATTTACAGAGAAAAGAATGTCTTAGAAAATGTCGTTTCATTTTGTTGTTGCATAGGATAGAAGCATATAAACGATAAATGACTTAAGCATATCATTTGGTACGGTTGAGGAACAAAAAACATAATCAATGGATAACTGTCGCTTATTTGTGCGCTTCTTATGACCTCTTTTAGCCACTTTAGGGAGGATTGATACTCATCATGTTGAGTTTTCCTATGAGGGAAGTGACGTTGAGCGTCATGGCTATGCCTTCTCCCTGATCTTTTTGAAGAGCTTGATATATTCTTCCCGCTCCTTCCAAATCAGAATCGATGGTAGTTGATTCTCCCTGTAGATTGTGGTATTTAATTTTGAGATGGACCAGTGAAGCAACAACGTCTAACATGGTTGTAAAATACCGTCCCAGGATACTCCTGCAAGGAACAACAAGAAAATGATAATTTAGTGTCTGAATGTCTTCTCCATTGTCGACAAAAACTATCAGTTCCACATATCCCCAACAACAAGTTATGGTTCAGTTGAATGCTTGAAGGTTCGAGTCTTCGCAGACTAGTAATTTGCTTCGCTCTAAGTTCATCTTCTTGAATAGCTTTGAGTACATGATGTCACAGGAGCCCCCACCATCGATGAGGATCTGTAACACATTAAACCTCCCAATTATAGCGATAGTCACGAGAAAAAATCTCTTCAAAATATCTTCAATTTTTTGAGTTTCAAAATCCCAGAATAGGACGGTTGGAAATTTTTGCAAACATATTTCATTCTTTTTTTTAAACAACCATCATCTCTACATTTTCCTTTTTTTTAATTCCATTTCATCGTATACTATATTTTTTTTATCTTCCAATTTAGATGGAATGTGAAAATAATTTGATTGTGCTTTAAAATATCCAACCAATAGAATGGTGTCTCTAGTCCGCTCAATTCCATTCTAACGCAATTTATTTTAAAATTACATTGTTACAATTTCTTTTGCATTTGATTATGCAATTGATAATGTTTTGGACAAGAATAGGCCTAATTTCTTTAATACTTTGGACAAGCGTAGGCCTAATTTATTCATCATGGATGTGTATGGATAGGTGGGGTTCGAGTGACTTCGAGAGAAAGATATCATGCTTTTAATACATTCTATGTGATTTAGGTGAAAAATAAACGAAATAAAATACTACTATGGTTAAGATGAGATAGAGATTAATATAGGAGAGATAGCCTCATTCCCCACTAAAGTCGTCTAAACTCTACTCTTGTATTGATGAGAATATGAGATTATTTTCTCTCTTTAGAGTTGAAGCGTATGGTATTGTGCAACCACAACAAAAGATTTACATTCAACTTAGTAATACACGTGGATCGAGATAGTATCCACTAATTGAATGGTTCTATACAATTTTATCCATTCATTTTGTTCAAATGCATATGGTGAACAACATTAATATATTAGTTAATAAATTATGCTGTAATTCAAAAAAAGATACTCTAAGAAACTTCATTTCAAAACTATACATGAAACACACCAATTATACAACTGATTTATGAAGTATGCAGTGTGAGACATAGTTTTGTTGATAATACTAACAAATACTTATCAATAAAACTATTACTTTCCAACATCTAAATTAGTCATCTAGTTCATTGATGATGATTAATCTAACCATAGCATCGAATAGGGTCATTACATCCCTTGGAAGAAGATTGTTTACAACCAAATCTACCACCTTTCTCAAGATACTGCTGATGATACTCTTCTGCCCTGTAGAATTTTTTAGCAGGAAGAATTTCAGTAACAATCTTCCTGTTTAGCTTATTTTGTTGTTGCTCCAACGACTCTCGCGCCGTTTTCTCTTGCTCGGGAGTGTAATAGTATATTCCAGATCTGTATTGTGTTCCCACATCATTCCCCTGAAGCACGGACACGATAAGGGTATCAGATACGATAATCAGATCAATTCAATTAAATAACGAATGTGATATATACCTGTCGATTTGGTGTGGTAGGATCGTGTTTAGCCCAGAATGCGTCAAGCAGAGACTCGTAGCTACATTCTTTGGGATCATAGTGGACTCTGACAACCTCCGAGTGTCTTGTGGTTCCTGAACACACATCTGCGTAGGTTGGATTATGCAAAAGCCCCTGGCTATAACCAACCTCAGTCTTGGTCACGCCAGGTAGCCTCTGGAAGGCCAGCTCGACGCTCCAAAAACAGCCAGCACCAAACTGAGCAAAGTGTTGAACTGATGATGCTGGTTTGTCATCATCTGGTCCTTGAGCAATCGATGAATCCATATTCTCTGTTGCCCTTGTGGTGCTACCAAACCAAAGTCTGCTCAGCCAGTACATGGAGTGATTGTTGATAGCAAATCTAGAGAGTGGTGGAAGGAACTTTGTTTAAAAGGACTTTAAAGAGATGAAGAAAGGAACGCCAGAGTAAGGGAAACTGGTTCTGGCAGTGATGCTGCTGTTTTCCTGCAAGTGAATGGTGCAAAACAGATACCGTGAGGGGTCGCGGATAACTAAGTGTTCTCAGGTTGAACAGTTAAGGGTTGGAGAACTGCAATTACCCATTCTTAACTTAAAATCTACATTCTTAAGAGCTAAGAGTCGGACGGAAAAATGGGAGATATACTGACTCAACACAAGAATTATTATTAACACATAACAAAATATTTGAATTTGAGACTTTGAGAGGAACACATTCTAAGGACCCGGGCAGAGAATTTGATACATGAATACAAATTTCATTTAATTCAAACTCCAGATGTCTACCATGATTGAGATCAACAAAGCCGTCTCAAGTTTTAGAAGATCATGAGTAGGTTAACCATGATTTAGCCGTGACAAAACAATTATAAACCCTATTTAACCATGTTTTAAGGACTAAATTGCGAAAGTGAATCAAACATCAACATTTCAACAAAATATTCCAATCAAACTCTACAAAAATACTGAAAAGTAATCAACAGGAATCTCAAAATAAAAAAATAATTATTTGTATGAAGAGAAGCAATTAGAATTTAGACTTACCAAGTAGTGGAAGAAAGAAAGGGAGAAGATTGAATTGGTGATTAAGGGGTGAGAAGGAAGATGAAGAAGGAGAAAGAGAGGTGAATAAATTGAAAGATTCGGTAATAATGACAGCAAATTAAAACAAGGGTTGTTTTCTTGTTGTTCACGAAACATGGCGCTTTCCTTGATCCGTATGCTCATATTCCGCGGTTGTTTCTACGTTGTTGTTGCTGGCGTGTCAAGCACGAAAGACTGAAAAGCCCCTCGATTCATCCTTATCCCATAACATTTTTTTTAAATATAAAAACTTAAATAAAATTTTCATAATTTTTTTCCGACAAGAAATTTTCATAACTTTTGTATGTAAAATATAGTAAAGTTGTGAAAATAAATATGATTTTTACTTTAAAATAAATTTTATTTACCAACATTTATAATGTGGGATATGATAATTTTATTGAGTTTAAAAATAGACCGACCATAACAAAGCGACTCAAACTAAATATAATAATATTGGTGAATGTCAGAAACGGATTTGATCGTTCAAATTGGCATGGTAGCCCAAACTAAGCTTAGAAGCTAGAAGCGGACCTAACCGTCTAACTCGAACATATTATCACTTATCCATTTTAGATTGTACCTGATCTAAGAGATGTAAGAAGAGACTACCAGTCTTGAATAGATCATGGAGAAACAATTTCTCCAATAAAGGAGGAAATTCCTCCTCCATATTGTCACATACTCCTCAAAGGGGGAAGAATTAGTTATTGGACTAAATCAAACTCATGGAAACTCTTATATATTTTCCTACCTCGGAATTCACTGATCATTAATTAATTTCACAATGGAAAATACACAGTTTCTCACAATCCCTAAGTGAGTAGAATCTCGCAGTAAAAGGTTTGTCCGTCTGCCCAAACCAAATTCAAGAAGGGAGTCAGAACTTGAAATTATTTTATCTAATAAAGATGTCGTCGTCATCCATCATCACATCCATGACACTATGGTCATAATAGTGCAATGTGACAATTGAGATATAAAACGAATATTGATTGACTCGGGGAGCTGAATGCATGTCATATACTAGGACGGATTTCAGAAGCATTATTTGGATACAAACGACCTATGGACGTTCCAAGGTTCATTGGTAGGGTCCTCTAACGAGCAATTATAGGTGAAAGACCATGTAATTATCAAGACAATGTTATGGATGAACAAGAGAGTAAAAAAAGATCAAGGTTGGGTATCTCGTGGTTGTTTACCCTCGAATTTTGGTAAACAACCGCTGATCTTCCAAATCCTTTCACGGATCCAGTTACTTGCGAGATCGATCAGATTGATCTCAGGACACGAGTGTCTTTATTAATCTTTTAACTTGATTGTTGTATTTAACATGTTTTGTATATGAAGACAAATGGCTTCAAATGTCGAATTAAAATGCATATAAAGTGAAAGTAAAATTACTTCTAAACTTGAAATGGTAAAAGATTTAAGTAAATGTTACTGGAAATTCTGCAGAAAGTAAATGCATTTATATTAAATGGGTGTATCATACGTACATCCTCAATAAACTCGTTTCTCTTTAACACTTGGTACTTTGAGTAATTTCTGAGTAATTTGAACAAAGATGTTCACCACCTAAATCGAAATAATAAAACCACTATTTATACTACTTCGACCCTAACGGTCTTCTACACGAACTAATGTCACATTTCTGTTTGCATGTCTTCGACGAACTCAGAGTCTTCCACGCGTCTTTTCGGATAAGATCAAAATATTTGAATTCGAATCTCCTTCTTATCTTGAGCGCCAATCTCTGAAGATGGTCGAACGAAAAAATGTTTGAAACCTTAGCCACATTTCGAATAACAATCTTTATTCAATAATTCGAATTGGTAAACCTTTCCAACAAATTTTACTCAATTCGAATCTCAACCTTTATGGCTTCACATAAATAAAGTAGTGGAATATTCTGAAGTATATTCAAGTCTAACTTTGAAATCCTTAGTCGAAATTTCTAGCTAACAAATTTCCCCCAAGAAATATTCATTTCGAAAAAAGAAATGTATATTTTTTGCAACCTCTTCAAATTTTGACTCCCTGAACATGCTGTCAATCTTTCAACTACTCTGACGTCATCCTCATGATGATCTTTAATCTCAAAATCTCAAATCACAGCATGGGTATCTATAAGTTCCATCATTATCTACAATGACTAGTTCCTGTATTGGAACTCACAAAACCGTTCATCAGCACGCAGGATCATGCTACACGTGTCCCACTAACCTGAGAATTTTAATTTCTCTTTCATCAAAACGGTTCACTTTCTTCCATATAAATAATATTTTTAATCTCTTTTTCCTTTTTTCAATCTTATTTAACCTTCAAGCTTCTTCTTTCTTAAATATTCAGCAAAACTTTCTTAACAAATTTCTTTTCTTGTCTGCATCAATGGCGTCTCAAAGCAAAACCAAATCTGAAAAGGGTAAACGAAACAAAGACAATGCTTCCTCTAAACCCCTTCTTCAAATATCAGCACCATTAATGATTGGGAACCAGGAATTCGTCCCAACACCATCTTTGAAGAATGAACAGATAGCCATATATTCTTCACAGGTATTAATTCCTTTTACTCTTGCCTCTAAAACATTAGGGTTTATGGGTCCAGTCCTTGATATGGAGAAATCACCTAAACTTAAAAAGTTTTTTCCAACTCACCATTCCACCAAACCCATTGCTAGCAAGACTAATATAGTCATGAAAACTAAGGCAGATGATGAACAGGATGTTCAAGAGAACCTTCCCCAGGAAGAAAAAGAAATGATAAAAATTCCTTTAAATTTAAACTTTGTTACTGAAGTATCACACCCCTTTAGATCAGGTCCATCGAAAGACGGCCAAAAGTACTTAGGTTGGTTAGCTAGGTTAGAAAAAGTAAAGTTAACTACCTGAAAGGAATTAGGGATTTTCGACTTGACTCATCTGTCAAAGTATGGTCCTGAATACTGTCAATTGATGTTGACGATTTCGTTGTACTTCTGGGACAGTACTTTTAACACGTTCCACCTTCCTTGTGGTATGGTCACCCCAACCCTTTTCGACGTCACTGCCATCACTGGGCTTCGACCCACTGGAGAGACTTTCAATCCAACAATCGATAGTGAGGACACCATTGATTTCAGCAAAACCTCTCCCACATATAACAATTATATGGATCATTACATAGGAACCACAAATCAAGTCAATGATCAAGAGCACATTGCTTTCCTTGCGTCGTGGCTCTCAAGGTGTGTTTTCTGCTGCAAGTCTCTCCAAGTTGCTAGGAGATTCTTGACCCTTGCTAATCAATTGCATGCCGGTCGAAACATTTGCTTGAGCGAATTGATTCTCGCTGGACTCTATGAAAGTCTTGGGGAGGCTTCTTCGAGACTGAAAGAATTCGAGACCCAAACCAACATCCTCCTAGTTGGACCTTATTGGTTGTTTCAATTGTGGTTGAACGCCATATTCGAACCTTCTCTTTCAACCTACAACACTATTAACGAAGTTGATCCTGAGGTCGAGAATAGGACTATTGAATGAACCAAACTAGTTCGACTGACCCCTGACGAAGGAGGGAAAAACTTGCAAGAGTGCTTCACTAGACACCTTATGATGTTTGCGAGGAGGCACATATACACTCCTTTGATGGCTCCTTTTACTGCGAGAAGTCATGGCCCAGAATGGTTTACCAGACCATTATTGAATCTTTCGACTGAGCAACAGGTGGAATCCCTTCAAATCTGGGAAGCCTTTCTTACTCCTAGACTTCTCCTTACCAGGATTATGCCTAAGAAAACCCAGAATATTCTGCTCACCTACCAGCCAAACTTCGTAGCAAGACAATTTGGTCTTTACCAGATTCTACCAGAACCATTATATCATAACAAGAGTGGTATTTTCCACAGAGGGATGAATTTCAATAATGTCGAAGCCCAAATCATTATTAGCAAATTCACGGGCCTTTTTCACATCACTTTTGTGCCCTTTACCCCTTCATACTACTACACTAAAGAGTTTGAAGACTGGTGGCAAGAATATTATTCTTCCAGCATGTGCGACATCAAAGACTTTCAAAAACATCTAACAAAAGCCTTTGCTTCTGTGCAGGACAAGACGAAGAAAGGTACGCAATGACACGTCAAGGAGATCCAGGCATTCCAAAAATACTTTGAAACTTTTTACAATCCCACTGATCTTGGTCGAACCATTTGAGACGCATCTGTGACCTTGAAAGAAAAATTTACAGCGAAACTCCCACATTTGCGCATACCTTCGTGTGTCAAACCTGAGGACATATATGACTTGGCTTTTCAATTAGAGCCTCCAAAATTTCCCAGATTTCCTACAGCGGACTTCGCTTTGGCCTGGTATCCACCACCATGGTTATCAATGAAAGAGGATTTTAAAGTCATGAGGCAAGATGCACTTAAACTTGAAAAACGAGTGGTTGCGACCAAGCATAGTTTATATAGTTTCAAAGGATTCCTTCATCTGGATTTAAAACATGTCAGGATGGACACTCCAGAAAGTGAAGGTTTAGAAACCATGGACTTCTTGGTTACTTCAAATTCAATTCTTTTCTTCGAAATAATCTTTAACCCTCGATCCCTTTACAACTATTGAGAGAAAGCACACCAAAGTGGTGAAGGCTACTACATTGACAGGGTCTGCGCAAGCAACCCCAATACCAAAGCCTTCGACAACTAGAATTCCTGAAGCGGCTAGAGAAGTTAGCAAGACCAACAAGGTAAGCTTATACTTTTTGCTTATTTTTTACCTACTTGTTGAATCATGCATTGATTTGTGGTTTTTTATTTTCGTTTCAAGATACCGGAAAACCTCCACTTACTCCAAAAAAGAGAAAACTAATAAGCGGGTCCACCTCGACACTTGGAAAAACCAACACCATGCCATCTGCAGACCTTACCAAAGCCAAAAAGAAGAAAAATAAAATAAAATCCTCCACTGCAGGTTCTCCTTCGAAGGAAACTTGTACCAAAAACCAACTCCTTCCAAGTCCAAAAAAGAAAAAAGATAGTGTGGCCTCACTTGTAGCCCGAGTACTTGAAGAAATTGAAAGTGATAACTCCAGCCCTGGGGATGAGGGAACAAAAGTAATAACTTTTATAATTTTTTTTTAAAGTCAACTTTCAAATCAA